AAAAAAATAAATAAAATATATAAGTATATATCCAACTACATGTATTTATGAAATCTGAGAGTAGAAGTCAGGTTCTGCAGTTTTCCCTCTCTGGAGTGGTACCCATTTTGCACTTGGGGTGGTGCAGCTTTTCAGGCAACTGCAGCAGGTTTCTTAGCCTTGACAGGGGGAAAGATTTTAAAGTTCTGCTTTGGGGAGAATGTATTTAACGTGAAAATGTTGATAAAGAAGTTACAGTTGAACCTGTCTAGACTGCTCACAGGTGGAAGTGAAGAGGGGAAGCGAAACAACTTTATTATAGTCAGAGCTGCTGTAAATAAACCATTTATCTAGGGCTCGCTTTGAGATCTTTTTCCCTAATGTGCTAAAGAAAAATAGTTTTTTAAAAAAATTAATGCTTATTTTTGAGAGAGAGAGCCCGAGTGGGGGTGGGACAGAGAGAGAGGGGGAGACACAGAATCCGAAGCAGGCTCCAGTCTCTGAGCTGTCTGCACAGAGCCTGATGCAGGGCTCAAACCCTCGAGCCATGAGATCATGACGTGAGCCGAAGTCGGATACTTAACTGACTGAGCCACCCAGGTGCCCCAGAGAAAAATTTTTAATGTTTACTTTTGAGGGAGAGAGAGCATGCTGCATGTGAGCAAGGAAGGGGCAGAGTGGAGGAGGACAAAGGATCCGAAGCAGGCTCTGTGCGGACAGCGGAGAGCCTGACGCAGGGCTCAAACTCACAAACTGTGAGATCATGACCTGAGCCAAAGTCGGACGCTTAACTGACTGAGCCGCCCAGGTGCCTCTAAAGAAAAATATTTTAATGCATTTATCTTACTTTCCAGGTGAGGGAAATCCTATTATAAAGCACCAAATGCGTGTCTTCAGTTCAAAGCTAAAACAGATGTCCTTCTTTCCTACTTGTCTCCTGATGTGGTAGATTCATTTCACCACACACATGTGCGCACACAGAGTCAGGCCAGTGCGGGCAGATAGGGTTGCAGTTAAGCTGTTTACATCGTGTCTGTTCAGAATGGAGCCTTTAAAAGTTTCAAGTGGAAAGAGGGGAGGGATGCAAAGCTCTGGAATTCCAATGAGATGTTTGAAAGGTTGGCAGCGTTTTGAAAGCCATCCCAACATTAATCTTGGCAAAAAAGCACAAGTATCACAGGTTGTTTCTGTCTCTTATGGATGATGCAGCAGCTAGAAGTCGGCTCCTTTATGGCTTTGTGAAATTTTAATGAAAATCAAGGAGTTTCTTTGCAACAAGTCTTCTAAAGCTTGGCCCTATCGACGCCGTGGGCCAGGCTCTGTTGGGGGCCAGCTGCCCTGTGCACTGCAGGGTGTTTAGCGGCATCCCTGACTTCTACCTGTTAGAAGCCACTGGTACCCTCCACTGTGGCAACCGGAAATGCCTCTAGATGTTGCCAAATGTCTCCCAGATAACAAAACCACTCCCAGTGTAGAACTGCTGATTTGGAAAGACCAGCAAGACAATTCCAGCTTCTGATAAGAGCTCCAGTTTGATTTGTTATGAGCTATTTTATTTTACTGGGACAGAGTCAAAGACTCTCATTCTGCCTCAGTAAAATACAGGTGGTTCCTCCAGAATATGAAGTGTTGTGTTCCTTGTTTCGTGCTGCTCGGAGGCTACTGCTGGGTGATCCCTGGAAAGTAATGCTTTGTTTCGTGTTTCATGTTTCTTTTCAGGTGACAATTGTGGAAAAGGCAGACAGCTCCAGCGTACTCCCCAGCCCTTTATCCATCAGCACCAGGAACAGGATGACCTTCCTATTTGCCAATTTGAAAGATAGAGACTTTCTAGTGCAGAGGATCTCTGATTTCCTGCAACAGACGACCTCCAAAATCTATTCGGACAAAGAGTTTGCAGGCAGCTACAACAGTTCAGATGACGAGGTCTGTGGGAGACGCCTGAGGGTATTTGCCTTGGTCCTACTCTGCCCCAGAATGTTCCCTCCCTCATCTGTTCTGTTTGATCTGCAAGCTCTGAAGCTGTGCTAAGATAAGGCTCCTCCCCTGATGTCCAGGGCAGTATCTGAGCAATAACTCATTTGAATCCCATGGAGTCTGTATTTGGGATCCCAGAGCTGGACAGAGCCTTGTAGATCATCTGGTCTAACCTGCCTATTTTATAGTTGAAGAACTCATTGAGTGATGTGTCTTGTTTACACAGCAAGTGGCTCTGGTCCATATAGTCACATTGTCGGGAATGCACAGAGGTCACTAAATAAAGTCTCAAATCTGAAATGCAACATCATGATGATGATTTTATTATGATAAAAAATACCTATTGTGTCCCTTTTGAATTAGGCCCTGGACCAACATCCAGGGAAATTGGCAGCTGAAACATAATTGTAAAGATGGTGACCTCACAAGGAACATCCCTGCCCCTGTCTACCCGGTCTGAGCTCATGTGGGCACGAGGAGGCGGTCCCTCTGTCAATAAGCAGTTGATTCAGCCCCGTCATGCTTTGCCTGCATGCTAATCGGAGGCTAACGGTCAACCAGTTTGTTGCAAAAATGCATCTGAAATTAGATGAAACGTGTTTTCAGCACTGAAGCTCTGTGTTCTGTGACCCACAAACCTGCTAATCCTCGCCAAAATGCTGCCTTGCTGCCTTCCTCCTGCGTCTTCACACAGCAAGAACCATTTTGGGAACCATGATGTAGCTGTTGGTGTCTGTACAGAGGACACTGAAGAAGTAGCTTCTACGTCTGTCCCTTTCATTGTCTGTCCCTCTCTGTATCGGCAGGTGTATTCTCGGCCCAGCAGCCTTGTCTCCTCCAGCCCTCAGAGAAGCACGAGCTCCGAGGCCGATGGAGAGCGCCAGTTCAACCTGAACGGCAACAGCGTTCCCACAGCCACGCAGACCCTGATGACCATGTATCGGCGGCGGTCCCCCGAGGAATTCAACCCGAAGTTGGTGGGTGCCTCCTGCCCTTGCCTGAAACTTTTCTATATTAGAGCAATAACATTTAAAAATATTTGTAATCTAAGTAAACTGATAAATATTTACGTAAAGAAACATTTTCCTAGAAGCACAGCAGATTTTTATCTAAATCTCTCATTCGATTGTAGAACAGCTTCTTCAAAGAAGGAGATGAGTTGTAGAGTTACAGGTGACATTTGTTTTTATCTCATCTTGAGTGTTTAAGTCAGCCAACAAATAAGTACGTAATCTCTCAGCCCATGTTTAAAAAACGTCAGCTCACTTTCACTCGGAGGTGTACACATAAAGCCATAAAGACAATTTGCATTCTGCTGACCTGTTTCACGTAAGTGGAATTTTGATTCTGGTCTAGAAAGCTTCGAGGCAGGACCAGAGGCTGTGGTTCAGGTGTCCAATTAGGGAAGGACTGCAGAGAATCTGAGTTCTTTGTTCTCCTGAGTTCTGTCCAGAACAGAACCACTCCATTCACCAGGGGACATGTTCTGACCTTCCATCCAACTTCTCCTGTCTGTCCCCGACATGCTTTGGCATGTAGTCATGTTTCATTATCCCTTTCAGGCCAAAGAGTTTTTGAAGGAGCAAGCTTGGAAGATTCACTTTGCCGAGTATGGGCAAGGGATCTGCATGTACCGCACAGAAAAGACCCGGGAGCTGGTGTTGAAGGGCATCCCGGAGAGCATGCGGGGGGACCTCTGGCTGCTACTGTCAGGTATGGACAGGCGTGGGGGGCGGGGCGTACTGGCCCCAGGGTGTGCAGGACCTCAGCGCGCCCCTTCTGCCTTCCCTCATGCACCTGGGCTCTTTTCAAATATGCAGTCCTCCAGTTCAGCACTAAATCCCCTTTCCTTCCCAAAGTGTTGAAGTCCCTCGATAAAAACACAGGACGCATATACACCTGCCCAGATATTGAAGCCCCCATCCCCCAAATCCGCATAACCTCTTCCATCACTTCACTAATGCTATTTAGAAGAAGAGAGATCCTGAAGGGTAAGAGTATGATTCTTTGTGATTTTTGAAGTCCTTGTTCCTTTCCCAGCTGTGTCCACTTCATTGAAAATGGGTAAGTGTGGCACACGCTCAGAGCCCTCATTAAGGTGGGGAGAGGGAGGAATGAGAAAGCCTCGTGCTTGGTTTCTGTCACCTCCTGCATTTGCTGGTTATCACATGGAGATGTGAAGGGGAGGCCAGAACGTGCACTAGAACTGAAGGCCCACCCAGGTCACACTTACACTCCAAGCTGGAGATGCCAGGAAGGACAGAAGGGGGTTGTCATGGACCTTTGGGTCCCCCTCCAGGCTCCTGCCCAAACACAGCCCTGTGGGGTCAGACCTTTGAGCCCTGCTGGAGACCAGAGGTTCTTCAGCTAGGCCCGTCATACCTTCCTCCAAGCCGAAAGCATCTAGGGGTCTGTTCTGTCATGAACATCCAGGGCGTTTTTTTGTTGTCACCAGTCTTTGTAAATCAGGTGCTTTACCTGGTTAGAGGCCTGAAATGTAATTGTTTTAAATAAGCTTATTTGAATATTTGTATATGAAACTAAGATGGTCTGACATAAGTGCCATTATCAAAACCTTTTATTTTAATAATAACATTAAAATTAGAAGAAAAGTTACCAGACTTACAGGACAGCCTTAAACAAACAAACAGGTTGTAGCTCTTTCTAAAAGTAAATACAAATGGTAATCGCCCATAATGAGATGTATTAACATCTCAGCAGTTGGGGGATAGAATCCTGAAAAATAATTGGCTCTATGTGTTTCATGTAAAACTAGTTTGTTCTGTCCTCGTTCATATGGCTTTTTCGTTGTCCTTCAGTAGACCAGCCTTAGCTCCTCATTTAGAAATCCAAATTTGAGGGGCGCCTGGGTAGCTCAGCGGTTAAGCGTCCAACTTTGGCTCAGGTCATGATCTCGCGGTTTGTGGGTCCGAGCCCCACGTCGGGCTCTGTGCTGACAGCTCGGAGACTGGACCTCGCCTTCCAATTCTCTCAGCTCTCCATCCTGCCCGCCCCCCCCTGCTCATGCTCTGTGTCTCTCTGTCTCTCAATAATAAATAAATGTTAAAAAAATTAAAGAAAAAAATCCAAATTTGAGTCAAATGATCTCTGATTACACAAATCCAGCCCAAGAAGAGCCTTCCTGTCCGGTTTTCTGTCTTCCTTGTGTCTGGTGAACTAGTCACCTCGACAACTTGATTCAGATCGTTGACATTGTAAATACAAAATTTCTTTTTCATCCTTGTTCAAATCAGAAGTTACTTACAGCCACATTTTGGATGAAAACAAAGCTCAAAGCACCAAGAAACAGTACACAGTGGTACACAAGCACAGTTGCAGAGACGCATCTAGAGTTAGATCCAGTGTTTTCTTTAATGGTGATGGAGGCCCGAGGGTGGAGCGGGCTCCCTGCTGCCTCTGTTGGGTAGACAGCAGCCCCTGTTTCCATCCAGCTCCCTGGAGGTGGGGTGCATGTGAAGCCAGCCCACCCATGGGGAGAGCCCAGCTTCTGGTAGGGGAACCTTGCCTGGGTGCCGCCCTGCTCCTCGTGACTCTCAGGGCCATTGTACCAGGACCTGGCTCAGTGTACCCAGTGAAGTGAAGTGCAGGCCAGAGGGTAAGATATCTTTGCAAATCTCCCTTGAGAACAAAGCAAAAGCCAGTGTTAAGTTGCTGTTAACCAGACTGCCTTATCCAGGGTAAGTGTGAGTGGGAAGCCTGTCTCCCTGGGTGACTGTCATTGACAAGGCCCAGGCCATCCCAAGGGCTCTAATTTCTAATCAGTGAAATACAGATCAGTCTGTCCTGTGTTGTAGTGTGTGTGTATGTGTGTTTAACATGTGCATATGTGTGTGTGTGTGTGTGTGTGTGTGTGTGTGTGTGTATAGAGAGAGAGAGAGAGAGGGAATTTATAATTACCTAAGTTGTATTTAAGTAGATTTTGATTTAGATATTCTCATATAAGGCTTTCTGTCTTTAAGAATCTTAAAATGCAAGGATCTCAAACCAGTGATCCTCAACTCATTTCTCCATCCTCATCCCAACCACCTGGGAAACTCCCACCCATGAGGGTGGCTCACTGCTAGGAATGCCCACCCCACCCACCCCCTGCACTTCTCCAAACCCCTCCACGTGCTGTAGCACCTCCTCCTACTCTTTAGTATGGCTGTTTGGACTCTTCAACACTTATGCTTCAGTAAGCAGCATGTGGACTCGTTTTGAGAGACAAAACTTCCCTTTTCAAGTGAAATCTTAAGGAAAACCCCAATAAAGTACCAGCAAAGCTGCTCTAGTTGAGGGAGGGCTGAGACGGGGAGGCTTCGGCTTACTCTTCCCCTAAGTGGCTCCCCAGGATTGTTCTTGGAAGTTCTGTGGAACACAGATTTTTCGCTTGCAAGCCCCTGCCTCGGGAGCTCTTTGAGCCCACGTCTGTGGGACGTCATTGTTATTTCGCAAGTGTCCTTGGAGTGGTGAGGAACGTGAAGGGGTTCAGTTGGGAAGCCATGTCTGCAGACCGAGGGCAGGGCTTCCACTTTTGGACGTTGTATCTGTTGGGTATTTCCTAGGTGCAATCAATGAGAAGGCCACACACCCTGGGTACTATGAAGATCTAGTGGAGAAGTCCATGGGCAAGTATAATCTCGCCACGGAGGAGATCGAGAGGGATTTACACCGCTCCCTTCCAGAACATCCAGCTTTCCAGAATGAGATGGGCATTGCTGCTCTACGGAGAGTCTTAACAGCTTACGCTTTTCGAAATCCTAATATAGGATATTGCCAGGTAAATGACACAGATGGCTTAGTTTTTTTTTTTTAATTGTTTATTAACCAGTAAGTAAGTGAGAAGAAGAAAGAAGAATGGTTAACTTCTAGAACCATCCCTGCACCTAAGTTTCTTGACCTCAGCGCTATAGACATTGTGGACTGGATAATTCTTTGTTTGTGCTTTGTAGGATGATTAATAACATTCCCATTTAATAACACATTTAATCACATCCACCCACTAAATGCTAGTAGAACCCCCTAGTTGGGACAACCAAAATATCTTTAGGCATTGCTGAATACCCCCTGGGGAGCAAAATCTCCCTGAGTTGAGGCCACTCCACTGAGCAGAGGAGCCAGGAGATAAGGATGCCCTTTCTGGATCCAACACCATATAGCTGGGTGATCTTGGAAAGTCGCTTCTGATTACTCTCTGAGCCACCCCTCATCCCTCCCTGAGGTAAAAGAGAGCATGCCTGAGCACCAGGCCTGTGATTCTGGATTCTCGGTTCCACAGTGCTCCTACTTTGCATCCTAGGTAATAACGTCCTTGAGAATAGAACTCTTTTATGCTATGATTATATTTTAATACACACTAAAATAAATGTCTAATCCTCTATTTAAAAAATGTTGCCCCCATACCAACTAAAATTATCTCTTGTACTAGGACATATACCACAATTTGGAAAGCTCCAAGATTATATGACTTTAGACTTACAGGCCATATATTCAGAGAGGCCTTCCCTGACCATCCAGCTAAAAGCTAAAGCAAATCTGGGCTTGCTTTGACAGCACATATACTAAAATTGGAGTGATACAGAGAAGATTTGCATGGCCTATCGCATGGATGACACACAAATTTATGAAGCATTCTGTATTTTTGTGGGAGATAGAGGCTTCCAGTTATGGAATGAATAAGCCACAGGAATAAAAGACACAGCGTAAGGAATGTAGTCAGTAATATTGTAATAGCAATGTGTCAATGTATCTGTAGGGACAGATGGCAACTACACTTGTGAACGTAACATAATGTATAAACCTGTGTCAACGGTACTCCAAAAAGATGTGAAAAGAAATCACAACCAAATACAACGTTTAATATGTTGACAAATACTTCAAACTTGCCCCAAATCCAGAAAGATGGTATAATGTATTTTTTACTAAATGACTGCTTAACACAAAAATACATAAATAGATAAATGCTAAAGTAGGCTTAATTCCTCTACACACACACACACACACACACACACACACACACACACAGTACAGGTCTTCCTGTACCGCATTACTTTACCGTTTTGATAGCACTTCATTTAAATATACTCCCAAATTGGTTAATTAATGTTTACATCTTTATTCTGTCTCTCTGACATCAACATTTAAGCCCTGTGAAACTTGTCACTGCTGTGTCCTCCCCTCCTACCCATCCCCCAATACTTAGTCCAGAGCCTGTTATAAAGCAGACCCTCAGACTTACCTTGACTAAATAAATGCCTAAGGAACCAACCGTGATGTACTAGAATCGTCAGGTTAGTTCTCAAGTGAAATTTTAATAATGATTTCACTTGGGAAAATATTAAGACTTACAAGAAAAAGCCTATTAGACCCAAATTCCTTTTTTGGTATGCGTGTTGTAGAAGTCTGATGAACGATTACTGGTTTGTAGATCAAAAGATGTACCGGACTTAGTTGGCTTCTACAATTACAGAATTCATATTTATCTTTTGATCTTCCTCTTTTTAATTAAGAGGACTATTAAAATAGTTGAGCCTTGAGTGGTTATGAGCTATGTGATAATATCTTTTAATAAAGTAGGTTCCTTTGGAGTCTAAATCACTGTTACATATCACTGCCATCCTTATCCAGATGGAAATAGTGGGTGAGGATGCCAAATTTGAAAGGTTTTATTGTTCTCAGAGGAGAGCCTCAGGCCATGTGTACTTGGTTATAGAAACCATTATGGAACATTAAAAAGGAAACATTTACCTCATGAATTAAGGATTAAAAACACTGAGTTTTCACAGGTTAACAAGCTTTGTCCAACAGCCTTTGGGCAAAGTTTTTGCATAAGGGCTTGCCTGTGTGCAGGGGCTCAGTCCTTGGTGAATATTAGTGTTCATAAAGACCCTTAACGGTTACCAGATCAAGCACTAAAGGTTTGTACATTTTTTAAGGGTTCTAAATAATATAAGCAAAACAAAACTTTGGGATAATATGTGTGTCTAGCTTGCAGAGCCTTTAAATGTTTATTATCTGGCCTTTTGCTGAAAAAGTTTGCTGGCCCTGTGAGACAAACTCAGTAATTTTCTTTAGGTCAACAAGATTTCTTATGCTAACGTGTATGATGTATTTAAAATACATTTGACAACAGCCTTTTTCATGCCTTTAGGCCATGAATATTGTCACATCAGTGCTGCTGCTTTATGCCAAAGAGGAGGAAGCTTTCTGGCTGCTAGTGGCTTTGTGTGAACGCATGCTTCCCGATTACTACAACACCAGAGTTGTTGGTATGTGTGGGATGTAGTTAACATTTTGACCCACGGCTCCCAGTGAAGATGTTTCTAGAGCCAAGATACCGGCTAGAACACCATTTCCAGTCACCATTAGCCAAAAGAATTTTAGACAACTCCAGTTTCCCAAAATGGGAGTGAGAGGGCTTGAATTAATATAAGATTGTACACAAAGGAGCCCCGCGGAGCGTAAGAGAATATGCATGTATCACTGTTACAGGAATTATTTTAGAAAACATTTGATGTGGGTGTCACTCTGTGGCATGTGTGAACTGCACCAAACATGTCAGCTGTCAATCAACCTTAAAAGATTTGGCAAAAAATGTTTTCATGAAAAGGATGCAATCTGTGGAGAACAGAAATATGCAAAAAAAAGAAAAAAGATCATATAAAAATGTATGCAAAACTCAGTTGCTGCAGTTTTTTTCAGTTTCATGGCAAAGCAAACAATGACTGTAAGCATTTAAACAAATTATTACTGTTACTCCCTATAATCCTCTCACGTGTTAGACATTCCCTTTAGCAGGACAAGCTTTTTGTTGCTAGTGTAGTAAATTGTATGCCTTATGTGCTCTTCATTTCTAAACCTTTTCACACTGATTCATTGATTTTGATTCATTGGAAAAATTCTCCAGAAACACCAGTAAGTTGATCATGAGTATGTACAACTGGAATGCTTTTTTTTAGATTTTTTTTTTTTTAAGTAATCTGTACACCCAGTGTTAGGATTGAACTTACAGCTCCAAGATCAACAGTCAGATGCTTTACCGATAAGCCAGCCAGGTGCCCCTAGAATGCTTTTGAGCTTAAAAAACACTCATTTAAGGGGTGCCTGGGTGGCTCAGTGGGTTAAGCTACTGAGTCTGGATTTCAGCCCAGGTCATGATCTCATGGTTTGTGGGACAGAGCCCTATGTTGGGCTCTGTGCTGACAGTGAGGAGCCTTCTTGGGATTCTCTGTTTTCCTCTCTCTCTGCCCCTCCCCACTTTGCTCTTAGCCTGCCTTCTCTCAAATAAACTAAAAAAAATAACCTCTCACTAAAATCAACAATTCATTTGTGGGGACTGTGCATCCAGAAAAGCAATTTGTTTTTTATTTTTTTTATTAAAAAAATTTTTAAGGTTTATTCTCATTTTTCACAGACGGAGAGAGACAGAGTGTGAAAGAGGAGGGCAGAGAGAAAGAGGGGAGACACAGAATTCAAAATGTGGCTCCAGGTGTCTTTGGCTGTCAGCACAGAGCCTTACACGAGGCTCGAACTCGGGAATGGCAAGATCATGACCTGAGCCGAAGCCGACGGACGTTCAACCACTGAGCCACCCAGGTAAGCTTCCTAAAGCAACTTGTTTTTTTTAAATGAGTTTGCCAGGAACGGTTACTTTTTTTATTATACATTTCATGCCCAACCAACAATTTATATATCATGAAACTTTCTAAACTGACCTATCCAACCCTACTATTGTGTTACTGCCCTTTGTAGGAAGTAGGACAGGAAGACTTGGAAAGAGAAGAAACACCCAGAACTAATCTGCTGACTGAGCTATGTTGACCTTGGTTCAATAACTTAGTACCCGGTAGTCATGGTATGTTAAGAACAAAGTTAGAGAAGGAGCTGAAGTTCAATCCCCAAGCAGCAATTGTGAGCTGGATTATTTTAGCCGCTATTTGATTGGGTGAGAAGGGGTGCAGTGGGTTCACCTGCGACCCTTGTGCTCACCTCCTGTTGCAGGCGCTTGCTGGTCGCACTAGGTGTTCTTCAGGAACTGGGAGCGCGACTAGTCCCGGAAGCTCTGTCGGACAAGGCTGCAGGACCCATGCGTGATTTCTACCACCTCCCCTGTCTTGTTCCTGTTTCATTTTCTCGCGTGATGCCTTTGAGAGTGCGTGTTGTGGTTGTGGATCGTTTCTTTCATGAAGGAATCAGTGTGATATTCCAGTGCTGGGCTCCCTGGCTGTGCTGGATGCAAATGTGGACAAAACTGAGCTGCAAGGACGATGGGGTACATGACTGTTTTGGGGAAGCTGCACTTTCAACCCTCCTGTTCTTCTCTGAACTTGCCTTCTTTCCCTGGAGCTGTGAGTCTTACTCAGTGCAGCATAATGCCCACTTCTGTCTGTGGCTGGAGGATTCATTTTCATAGGCTGCATCTTTGTAGTTAGAAGACTTTTATTCTGTTCTAAGGAAATACTTAAGATACCCTTAAAAGTATGCTTTTAAATGGCGAGCTTGCAGAAACAGAGAACTGTAGAGAACTCCAGATTAGCCTCTGGCGACTTCTTATCTTTCTTTGTCCAGGCATTTAGACAGTGTGACCAATAAAGACAGCACTTCGGTTTCCCATCCTCACCTCCACTCTCAAGTGATGTGAACCCACCCTGAAGTGACATCTTTGTAATCATCAGAACTCTGGCGAGGTGGTTCACCCATTGAGTGGTACAGTGCTCTGAGAAGTGAGGGGGGCAATTGATGTGGCAATCTACTTCCATTATAACTACTATACGCTTCCTTTCACCTTCTGAGAATTACCGTTGCAGCAAAGCAGCTGCCTTCCAGCTGACGGCTTTCACCTTCGAGAAATGGGGCCATGAATTCCCCTGCTGGGTTTCAATGCATAGAGCAGATGGCACAGACAAGCTCTTCACTCTGGTTCTTTTTGCCATGCCTACCCGAAGCTCTGATCAAAAAAAACCAGATTCACTCTGGGTGTGGTATTGAGGAGGGGTTTGAGAGCAAGCATGCTAAATAACCTGCACACATTGATGAACTCTCTATTCTTGCCAAGACTTCAGGTCTTCTAACAAGAACAAGCCAATTTCTTCAGTTCAAGATACATGGGAATAGCTCAGCTCATTCTAGAGATGAACCAGAGTCCTGCTTTCTCAAATAGCTTGACCTGGCTGGGGAGGATGCTGTCTGTGAGGACCCTTCTGGATCTGGCCCTGAATCTCAGAACAGAACTAAATGGAAATTTAGAGTGAAGAACCAGTATATATGCTTCTGTAATTGTTTGGTGCGGTTTGTAATCCCCAGTGACTCAGTGCCCATAATACCTAATGGTTTCTTCATTTCTGATCCGCTGTGCAAACTATAGAGATGATCATACAGGTATACAATATTCTGCTGAGCACAGTAATTACAGATATTCGGGAATGTATGACTGTGACTTTCAAGACAACTAGTACTCAGCCTGATTATGGACAAACAGCAAGGGACAAGCTGGAGGTCAAAGTTTCTGAAGAGAATAAAATTTTAAACATAACTGGGGGACAGATCCAGAAATCTTTTCAGAAACATATGCCCTTTCATAAAGGACAAGGCTGGTAATTTTATTATTTTTTTAAAAACTTCATTGACACTAATATATGGCTGATATGAAACAAAACATTTTTTTGTGTCTTTAATTATAAAAGTAA